GGCCCAGACCCTTCTCCCCTCGGCCTCGGCCTCTCCGCGGGGCCCGGAGCCGCCGGTACCGGCCGCACCGCCCGTTCCCCCTGGGTGGGAGGGGGAAGTGCTTCACCTCGTAGGCGTTATTTAACCTTTTGGTGGAAAACGTTGGGTCCTGAGGTGTACAACGTAAGCAGGAGCGCTGCTCTGTGTCCTGTCAGAGCTGCCCGGTCAGCCTGGGGCGTAGCCGGCGCGGAGCGGCCCCGTAGGGTGGCCTGTCCTCCCCTGGGGTGCCTAGCCACGGCTGTTGGATAAGTGTCAGAAAAGGAGTGAGTTGGGGGCGAGTATTCCGAAAAGAACAGTTTGACATCGAGAAGCTGAAGTACTCCAATCTGAGCAGGCCCCATGAAGGTGCAAGATGGTCTTTCCAGCCTTCACAACTAGGGCATGGTCCGGGTGTGATTTGTGCCGTACAAGCTCCTAAGCTGTTTGTCCAGTTGTGTTAGAAAACAGTCTTAATTCCCCTGTAATGAGATGTGACTATTCTTATTTCCAGGTGGAACAAAAAGCTCAACAAAGTTATGGCAACGTGTATTAGTTCTTAGTCCTGTGCTTTTGTGTGTGTTTCTAAGCCCAGAGTTAGGGCAGTGGATGTAGTTAGTAAAAATGGAAAATGTGTTATATGGCTGCCTTAGTGTTAGCTTTTTATGTCAAAGTTGGAGGGACTGGTCAAATTGGCTTCTGTGTTCAGGACATGGAGCCTACTATTGATTGCGAATTGCTATAGGTGACCTTGGATCTTATCGACTGCTTTGTCCGTGGCTGCTCTCAGAGGCCTCCTGAAGTGTTTTGCACATTGAGGTTTTGTTCAATCCCCTAATTGCGTTCCATGCGGGTAGTCTTTGGACTGGTGACCTGTTTAACCTGGTGGTTGTGAGGAACGAGCTGCTGAAAGAAAATCTGTTTTAGTTGTATACTCGAAGTTCTCATTTCACTAGATTTCAGGCATTCTTTTTTCAGAAGTAGATGTAAAGCTGGAACCTGTGCACCAAGGAGAAAGGAGGTTTCAGTTACTCTTCAGCATCTAATGAGCACATCTTGGAGGAAAAAAAGGACTTTTCTGTCTATTTGCTTTGTATCTTTAGCTGATATAGTTGACGGATAAACACGTGTAAGGCATACTTCCTCTAGCAGCGTAAGGGAGGGCTTTATCTGTCTTCGTCTGAGGTGAAGGGCAGCAAGAAATTTCCCATTTTTTTCCATCAGTACTGAAGAGACACTCAGACTAAACAATCCTTTGCAAACCTGTGCATTGTTATTGGTGAAATTTGTCTGTTAGCTATTTCTTAATGGCAATGCGAACCCTAAGCACCCCAATGAATGGGCTGGCAGGTTTGTTTGGCTTTAATATAGGCTTGAACTACAGCTATAACGCTGTGCTGTAGTACCAATGCTTAACAAATTACAGGGGACCAGTTGAGAGTCAGCGATGTTAATTGAGGCCACGAGACCTATCGCTGGCATGGAAGAAAGCTGCTGTTGCAAAGGTCTGGGTTAACCCAGACACTGGTGCTCACAGCTGCTACCAAGAAGCCCTCTGTCTTCTGACATAAAAATGATGTTTTGCAAAACTTGTGCTCCCACGTCAGGATCCCGAGAGGTGCCTTGTCTTCGGTAGCAGCATATGTTGGGTTTCCACCTATACTTAAGATAGCATTAGTACCCTCAAATATGCCCTCGTGTACTGTAGTAAGGACGCGGCATGCTCTTGTATGGCATCTGATCAAACTGTATCCTGTTGAGACCTTATGATATAATGGGTTATATGCAAAATATTTGGTATTCCTGTAGGAATGAGAGTTATAAGGAAGAGGAGGAGGAGAGAGTAGGTTAACGCTGACTGCTGACTTGCTGGAAGCTTTTGGAAAATGGCCTCTCCGTTCGCTGGGCCCACAGCAGTTGCTGATGTAATTAAAGATCTAGACACTCAGATAGCTGTAAGTACATTGCGTGAGCTTGCCATGAGTTGGCATGCAGGACTTGCTGTGGGATTCTGCGCATCCTATTAGTTTTGCGCTTGGTGATCTTAATAGCACACGAAGGATGCAATAAGATCTTCAAATAAATGAACAAAACTACTTTATACTAATGAAGTGCCTCCTGCCCAAGGATTCCAGCGCGTTGCCCAAACATTGCCTTCTCCTCTGCGTGGTGGGTAACAATTCCTGCTTTCTGGATTTGTAAACTGAGGCACGGGAGTGAACAGCCTGAGATCAGCCAGTGCTAAAACCAAGATTAGCACACTGAAGTCCCTCTGATCTTGTGCTAAGCTCTTAAGAACCGTGCCTTCATGCAGAAATGCCAGCTAAGGGGTATTGGGGTGCGAACGTAAGGATTTTCCAGCATTGATTCAGTTAAAACTGATGAGCTAGAAATGTGCTGATAGCTCCACAGAGGAGTGTCTTGCATATAAAACCTTTCAGAAGAGCTCCGTGCCTGTAGGATGCAACAGTGCATGAGTTTGTGTTGGAATGAAGCACTAAAACAGCCACCTGCTAAGCATTTTTGTGACCCTTGGTTTGGTTTTTTTTGGTGTGAATTAACTCAAACTAACAATTTTGCTCTGATGAGGGGAATGCATCTATTTGTAGATAAGGCAGAAAAATACTCTGTTCGTCAGTTTGTATGTGGATGTGCTTTTCCTTATTGGCCTATGATCAGTATCAGTGTGAGGAAGAGAAGGCTCTGTTAGCAAATGGGGATATTTAAGGGAAATTTTTATCACTTAAGAGTTGACTATGATTAGCGTTTCATATTTCAGTAAATGCTGAATAACCTGTGATAATAACTAGGTTAAGAGGAATTATTTTGTACTTTAAAAAGACAGAAGTGCTTAAATTTGTGGGCAGGGTGCTTTGTAAGGAGACAGCTAGTAGAGAAAACAGCAGTTAAAACTGTTAAAATGAACTTTTTCTTCCCCTTTTTTCCATTTTTTAAAGTGATTTCACACTGCAGTGGGTAGGCTTTCCAGAGGACGTGTGTGTTCTCAGTGGCTACTTGTCACCAGTATCTGTGCCCCGCAAAAACTGCTGCAGCCTCTGTGTGAAAGGCTTTTATACCAAACTGTTGATTAAATGTTCATTTTGTGTGATAGACCTGTCACTGTGGTCTGCATTGCCGGTGGTGATGGAAGGCCGAGGTTTTGGACAGAGCTTCCTTTCACAGAGCTGTGCCGCAGAGCAGCAGCAAGGACCAAGCAGAGCTTTACCGAGTCTGGATTTTAGAGCCTTACAGCTATCAAACGGCTGCCAGTCGTTCTGTGATTAGCTCAGTGGCTAATAACATGAATAATGTCTAATGCCTATGGTGAACCTGGAAGATCTGAGTAAGCTGAGTTAAGCTGCTGAAACCCAGTTGTGGTTCGCTATTGACAGCTCAGTAAATCTGATTTCGTTTACTGCGGCTTTCAACGGCCCAGCGTGGGAAGAACAAATCGAAGGTGTGGGCATGTTACGTGTGTTTTCTCTGTTGTCACATTACCTGTGAGTACCCAAACTCGCGCTCTTGGATCTGAAACTGAATCCTACGTTGTCAAGCCAGCATCAGTGTTTCTTCTTTACAAGTGGTACTGGTGGAAACATTGGTTTGGGGAGAGGGATCACCACAAGTCTGGCTTGAAATGCGGCATTGCCAAAAACGAAACCTCCACCTCCCAGCGCTCTCAGGAGGATACCTAAGGGAATTTGAACTTTGTCTTCTGACCTGCATCTCAGGCATGTGGAGTATGAAGATGAAGACTCGGTTGTTGCCCGGTGCTGAGTGCAGTGGGACAGGGCCTATGCCTGCTGTGCCTACCTGTTGCTACAAGAGAACAAGCCAGGCCCTGTCCTTTAGTTCCTAGCTCTGCACACGGTCTCCTCATCGAAGCTGTTATTAGTATAAATGAAGTGTGTCCAAAAAGGCACTGATCTGAAGGTGGGGGGGAATGCATGGGTAGGATTCAGTCCAGAGGAGGAGGAATGAGTGTACAGGTCAGCGCAACTGCACGGCTGCTACCTGTTGTCAGTCAGTGCACTGCATGCAGCTATTGTGCTTCTCATGGCAAACTGCATTTTCCATATACCAGGGAATGTTTCTCTTCTTCTAAACGTTCCTCCTCCCTTCCTGCTGTGTCTGGAGAGACTCGATCTAGTATAAACCTCTGGGCCCTGTCAGGACACCGTAGCTTTACTATGGGCAAAGTGCTAAGCACCCCTTGGAGTTCCCTTCTCCCTTCTCTTTCAAGAGTGCTAACTGTGGCTTTTGCTTCTTTTTCCAGTTGATTGGTTTGGGTCCCCACAACCCCAAGAAGAAGCAGGACCTAGATAAGCTTTATGATCTAAAAGCTAAAGCCCAACAGATTATGAACCAGTTTGGCCCATCTACCTTGATCAACCTCTCCAACTTCTCCTCGATAAAGCCGGAACCGGCCAGCACTCCCCCACAGAGCTCCATGGCGAACAGCACCACTGTGGCAAAGATGCCTGGGACGCCCAGCGGAGGAGGACGGCTCAGTCCTGAAAGCAACCAGGTAATTTCATCCCTGACTTTGGGACAACAGGGAAGATGGTCAGACCTGCCTGTAGCTTGATTCTTCTCCTTTCTTAAATTACTGGCAAATGCTTGATATCAATTAAAGTATCAGTTACTGTCCTGAGTGAGCCATCATTTTCATGTAGTCTTTCCCTCTGAGGCACTTTCAGGTTGGAAGATGTACGGACGTTGTAGGTGCAGGAGTTTTGTCAATCTCAGGAAGATGTATAGCGGGGGAGTGACTGGGAAATTCCTTTCAAATGTGGTTTAGATGAGAGAAGTAAAAGTTGAGTGCGTTCATAGCCTCAGTCACGCTCAGGTGGTGCGAGATGCAGCATCACTTCTAAAAAGCTGCTGACTTGCATGCTTGCCTGTCGTGTTGTTGAGTCTTTAACGTACGTGAATGTGTTTCTGCCAAGCAAGCACTCCAAAATTGCTTCTTTATCTTATGGGCTGCTAGTGTTCAGGAGTAGTAAAATCTCTGCCTTCCCACTACGTCTGCACTGACAGGGTGCTGCCTGCTGCCCTAGAATAACTCAGCACTCACATATGCATCTGTTTTCCTTTCCAAGCGCTCTGAACGATAAACACTAGAGTAATGGAAATGATTCCTTTGTGCCCTGAACACAAACGTGATCACTGAAATGCTGCTTATATTTGCTGTGTACCTTTTAAGACTTCCAATTATGCCATTGTCTTCTCTTACCAGCAGCCTTGTTTTAAGCATTGCTATCTTAGTGCAAGTGGTTGTCCTTTCAAGACACAGCATTGCTTTTATTTTTAACGCTGGGATATGGTCAGACCTGCCTGTAGCTTGATTCTTCTCCTTTCTTAAATTACTGGCAAATGCTTGATATCAATTAAAGTATCAGTTACTGTCCTGAGTGAGCCATCATTTTCATGTAGTCTTTCCCTCTGAGGCACTTTCAGGTTGGAAGATGTACGGACGTTGTAGGTGCAGGAGTTTTGTCAATCTCAGGAAGATGTATAGCGGGGGAGTGACTGGGAAATTCCTTTCAAATGTGGTTTAGATGAGAGAAGTAAAAGTTGAGTGCGTTCATAGCCTCAGTCACGCTCAGGTGGTGCGAGATGCAGCATCACTTCTAAAAAGCTGCTGACTTGCATGCTTGCCTGTCGTGTTGTTGAGTCTTTAACGTACGTGAATGTGTTTCTGCCAAGCAAGCACTCCAAAATTGCTTCTTTATCTTATGGGCTGCTAGTGTTCAGGAGTAGTAAAATCTCTGCCTTCCCACTACGTCTGCACTGACAGGGTGCTGCCTGCTGCCCTAGAATAACTCAGCACTCACATATGCATCTGTTTTCCTTTCCAAGCGCTCTGAACGATAAACACTAGAGTAATGGAAATGATTCCTTTGTGCCCTGAACACAAACGTGATCACTGAAAAGCTGCTTATATTTGCTGTGTACCTTTTAAGACTTCCAATTATGCCATTGTCTTCTCTTACCAGCAGCCTTGTTTTAAGCATTGCTATCTTAGTGCAAGTGGTTGTCCTTTCAAGACACAGCATTGCTTTTATTTTTAACGCTGGGATCTGCTCTCTGGTCAAAGCTGCTAGGGGGCTCCTTAATACCTGATATTTCTTATCTCTGCCATTCCTGAACTGATATGGTGTGTCAACACGTGTGCCTTGGGCCTCGGGATAGTGAGGGAGGAGGTCTCTTGCAGCTATGCTGTGTAGGTGGCTGGTTTGCTAAAGCAGGGCAGTAAATTATTCCTTCCCTTCCCTACTTTTTTTTTTTTAAAAAAGAAGAAACTGCAGGACCTGGTGCGTGAGGTGGATCCAAACGAGCAGCTGGATGAAGATGTGGAAGAAGTAGGTACATGCACACCTGGAAAGGGCTACAGAAGGAGCCGATCCATGGCTTTTCAGAGTAGTGTCCCCTTGTCCAAAGCAGAAGGGTTGGTTCATATTCCACTGCATGTTTGCTGCAGCCTTCAGACATCCATGTGTGGTTTCCCTTCTCAGCGTTGAGAAGGGTTTTAAAACAGCGACGGCAGCAAACGTCTTTGAAGTATTAGCTTCTGAGCGTTGATTTTCATACACTTCATATAGTTTCGACTGTATGGCTCATTACTGATGAGGCTGGTTGTTGTCCTTGGTCCGTGATAGATGCTGTTGCAGATCGCCGATGATTTCATAGAGAGCGTGGTGACGGCCGCCTGCCAGCTTGCACGGCATCGCAAATCAAACACCCTGGAAGTGAAAGATGTCCAGTTGCATCTTGGTAAGTGATTTTTTCACTCAACTGAGAGCTGGGAAAACACCATGCAAGCAGGGCAAACCCTGACCATGGAGCTAGGATAGAAACCCACGAACAGCTGTTGATTCATTGCGACTTAATAGTGTCCTAATAATCAGGGAATGAATAGGGTGTCCTTCCCCTGACCATATCCTCTCCCAGCTATGTGTTTTAGCTGTCCTTCAGCCTCTGTTGGAAGATAGCTAGTAGAGGGACTGCATCTTTAGTGAGCTTTAGTGCCCTGCAACTGTAGCTGCTCTGCTTCTTAAAAGCCTTTTATAGCTGATGTCCAGATCACCAGCCCGTGTCCATTTCTAGCGCTGTGCCCAGAAGGGCGTACTGCTGGTATGTTAGTTCTGGTGGGGCCGCTCTTGCGGTGTGCAGTTGGGGTAGTTTTCATCGTGTGCTGAGCTGCGCCCTCTCTTCCAGAACGTCAGTGGAACATGTGGATCCCGGGCTTTGGTTCTGAAGAAATCAGGCCCTACAAAAAAGCCTGCACTACAGAAGCTCACAAACAGGTAAGGAGCCCTTAGTAATGTACTAAGAGCCACGTGGTAGAAGGCTAATATGGGTAGGGTCTTCCTGGAGTCCTGGCGCTACATGAATTTGTATCCTCTCTTCCAAGTGGTTTGGAATTGAAATCACTTCCAGAGTCCCCTCACCTGTTTATGCAGAGAGGGTTGAGTTTGCTCTGGCTGCTTTGCTGGCTGGCTGTGCCCCTAGCGAACCGGGAGTGCTCGCACCGAGGGCAGCCAAGGTCTGAAGCAACCGAGCTGCAGACAGTATGTTGTCAGCTGTCCTCTTGCAGATCTTGTGCTCCATCTTTGTGCAGAAAGGAGTGAAAACACTGCTCAGCTCCTCTGGTTCTGTAGAAAATCCATATCCAAGCATGCTGGGTTGAATGCTTGTGTATCCCTTCATCTCTGTAGCCTCACAGGTGCTGCAGTTCAAGTCCAGGAGAGCCCTTTGACTTGCAGGATCTACTGAAGCTGTAGATTGTAGGTCTGCAAAAGCCATGCGTGAGAGCAGTGCTATGAGAGCGAGTCTTAGCCTGCCGTTGCAGGACTGTTGCTTTCTCTGCAGGCAGTTAAGAAGTCACAGAAAGGCCAGGGGATTTCTTCCCAGAACTTTGAAGAAAGGCAATAGGAAGCAGAAACACAACTGAGATGCCCTGTTGTGACTGGTCAAGTGAAGTCTTGTGGCCAGTTCTGTCTGGGATGCGGTACATGTGCGAGTAACTGGAAACCCCCACAACGCGTTTGCAGACCCAGGCTGCCTGGTACAAAATCACGGGACTCTGGATGTGGCGTTAAACCGTGATCAAGAGCGCTCTCTGACTCTCTCTTTGGCTCAAATTCCTGGGGCTATCTGATATCTGCAGCCCAACGTTGCATGTGGTGAATGGTGTAAGGCACCTGCTGTGTTCATGTGCAAGGGTCGCAAGTCTTGGCTGTTTGCCACCATAAGAAGTGAAGCAGCTGCAAAAAGCTTAAAGGCCTGGGAAGGTGCAGCAGAGAGCACACAGTTGTCCTGGAATTTCAGCTGTAGATTGAAGCTGAGCAGCTCTTTTCTTTCCCTTAGTTTTGCTTTAAATGAGTTAGTCTACTGGTTTTTAAATGCAAGGTCAGAGCCAGGGAAGTCAATGCCCTGCCCTGGAGTCGTTCAGCTTCATGGCTGATGTTGCATCTGCCCGCCTGAAGCTACTGCAATAACTGCTGGTCATGGAGAGAGGAGGCCTTGAAGTGGATTTGGGTTCAATGCACTGTTTAATCCTAGTGCCTCTTAACAGCAGTTACAGTTTTTCTCAGTCATGTTGCCTGCTGAAGGTGTCAAGGAAAGGAGTATAGATGCTTTCTTTTTCTCTGGCTCTGGCTGTGACCGTGTTAAGATTTAAATGAACTTGAAAGACCTATGTTGAAACAAGTCAGGCAGTGTCCTGAGAGAACCTGAGGTACTGTCTCCTCAGCATTGTTCCAACATGGATAGCTTACAAGCTTGTTTTGTAGTAACCTTGTCCGAGACTCTTGGCTTCCCATGTTTTTCTCTTTCTTGTTACAGAGAATGGCATTGATCCGCAAAACTACCAAGAAATAGCCCCTGGGAAGAGCTGCGAGATGACACCAGTGCATTTTGGGATATCTGCCTCTCCACTGAAGCCTCCACGATGCCATCCATGGGATATTTTTTTTAATGCTTACAGAGAAGCATATATTTTTTATTAACGGTGCAGCAATATCTGACTTTATGAGGAGATCTGCCAAAAACGTTCTACGCCTCCTTCCTCATCCCCCCAAGAGCGCAACGTATCTCAAAACAAAGACTTTTATTTGTGACTTGAAAGTGGTTTATCGTATAAGTGATTATCCAAGGGACAGAGCATTTGATCTTGTGTGGGACAGTATTAGAAGCATCTGTAGAGGTTTCTGTTTCCTCCTTCCCGCCCCTACCTGTTCCAGTCCTTTGTAATGTCAGTGTTTATATAAATACTTCCGTTTGTTTTACATGAATAAAGAAATTATTAATCTAAAACCATGGCACAGTCTTGTGCTGTTCAAAAGGCATGCAGAGAAATTGCAAGTGAAATGACCAGCAGTCGGGATAGCCTGGTTTTTGCATGTGGTGCTCTTGTAAGAGATCTCCTGTCCTAGGGTTGAAAACAAGCGGAAGGATTTGGCTGGTTCCCTACTGTGCTAATAGGGCTTGGTGAGCAGCTTCTTCTTGACGTTGGAGGTTCTTTACATCTAGCTCAGGGTGAGGTGTTTGCCCACCAGTGGCCCGTTCAGACCACGAGGAATGGGACGTGGTGACTGAGGAAAAGAAATCAAGGCCGATCCTGGTTCTCTGCTTGTCTGGGGTGTAAAGAAAGGCGGTGTCCCACTGCCTGTTCCTGCTTGTTCTACTCAAACCGGTGAACTTCAGAGAAGCTGCTGCTGCAGGAGCTGTTTGACGCAGGGAAGAGGGAGCAGACAGCTCTGCAAACTCTCCACGTGGAAAGAAGAGGCTGATGTGCACCTGTAAGCATGAGTGCCTTGTCCTCCCTGCCAGGTTTGCTGCTGGGGCGGGTTCTCATAGCCCCAAAGGCTGCCAGTATCCAGGGGAGAAACTGTTGAAGCAATTTAGAAACCAGTAAGGGCTCTATTCTCCTTTCATGTAACAGCCAGCTAAGGAGCGAGAAGCCTGTGATAAACAAATGCAGCCCCTTGGGTAAGGCCAGGCTTGGAGAGGAGGGTAGCTGTTCTCGCATCGCTGCAGTGCTCAGCTGGTGCTGGAGGGACACAGTTGTTGGCTTGTTGACCACGCAGCCAGGCTGCTCCATCTCCTCAGTATACCCGGGAGTTGCAGTTATTCAAAATGTACAACCATGCCCTGCTGAGCACAGGAAAGCCAGGCTGTGAGCCAATTCCCTGCTGGCATGCTCAGGGTCAGGCAGTCAGAGGGGTTTCAGATCAGTGCTAGGATGGGGAGGTCAGACTGCACTGAGGGCCCCTGGCTCGTGGTCAGGGGATGGAGGCAACCTTGTAGAAAGGGAGAAAGTGAAAATAGGACAGTGGGAGTGAAATCTGCCTCTGCAGACCTGACCCCATCGTGTTAGCACTCCCGGTGCGGGGTTCCCATCAGCCGGCTCAGTGCTAACCCCTTCCCCTTCCCCAGGAAAACACAGGCAGCCGAGAAGCTGAATACAGGGTGTTTAATGTGCTGTTGTAGTCACTCGCTGCTCTTTTGCGTGCCACAAATGTTGTACATTTTTATTTCTGCTTTGTGTCTCATACGTTGCTGTGGAGCTGTGTGTCCGAGCTCCCCACCGGCTCTGCAGCAGGGCTCTGGGGGCAGCAGATAGGCCGGGCAGGCTGTGTACATCCTCATAACCACCCCGTCTCTAGCACGAGCATCTCTTTTGCTTCTCTTCCTTCCCTGGAACCTGAGACTTCAGCCCCGGCAGGAGCAGGAGGCTGCTCTTCACCCCGTCCCAGGCCTCAGTGGGACGCAGCAGCCCCGTCTGCAGCGCTTGGTAGATGGCCAGCGTCAGCATCTGGAAAGCCTGGGTCACGTTGCTTGCGTCCTTGGCCGAGGTCTCGATGTACTGCACCCCCAGCGCCGACGCCAGCTTCTCTGCCTCCCTCCGGCCCACCTGCCGCTCCGCCACCAGGTCGCTCTTGTGCCCCACCAGCAAGAAGACGATGCGGCAAGGCTGGACAGTGTCCGTCACC